GCAGTGCTTCGAAGAATAGTGTATCTTTGAACCATGGAAATAGCCAGATGAGTGACGTGGAGATATCACTGTCATGAGTTAAATCCGATGGGCAGGATTAACTGCAGATGTGCAATTCAGAATCAGAGCGCTGACGTTTACTACACTCGATGTGTGGGGAAAATCGTAGTAGCTTCACTTACAAGGGATACTCACAGTGATTGGCTGTGCAGTTTTGTCATGCGTTTTTTGCAGTTATGCAATGCAGAAAACGCATATTGACGAGGGGTTGTCTGTGTGTCTGTATGTGCGTCTGTCACGGTTTTTCATCTGAAGACCTACAGAAGCTACAGGGCTGAAACTTTGGGAACTTAATCTATATGCACGTACGAGGCCCAGCTCCTAAAATGGGCGCCATTACCCACGTAAGAGCCCACCAAAGTTTTTTGCGTATAAGCTGCTAACTCGGGGACCGGAAATGCTTGGGGGCTGAGATTTTAAGGATGATGTCCCCCGTCCAAGTAGGTATTAATGAGCTCAAACCCAGCCTTCGGGTAAGCGTGGTACCCGCGTACGAGCCCGCCAAGATTTTTTTCGGGTAAGTCGGGGATCTGCGAAGCTAGGATGCTGAAATTTTACAGGGACGTTCCCTGTCCACATAAGTTTTAATGAGTTTCAAACCAGCCTTCGGCTAAGCGTGGTACTCGCGTACAAGCCCGCCAAGATTTTTTTCGGATAAGTTCATAACTCGGGGATCTGCGAAGCTAGAATGCTGAAATTTTACAGGGACGTTCCCTGTCACGTATGTCTTAATGAGCTTTAAACCAGCCGTCGGCTAGGCGTGGTACTCGCGTACGAGTCCGCCAAAACTTTTTTCGAGAAAGTCATAACTCGGAGATCTGAAAAGCTAAGGGATTGTAATTTTAAAAAGATATTCCCCGTCCACCTAAATCTCATTCAGCTCAAACCCAGCCCTCGGGTATGCGTGACACCCATGCACGGGCTCACCAAAGTTTTTCTTGGGTAAATTGCTAACTCAAGAACCTGAAAAGCTAGAAGACTGTAATTTTAAGAGGATGTTCCCTGCCTACGTAAGTCAGCGAGCGCAAACCTAGACATCGGGTATGCGTGGTACCCTCGTACGGACCTGTGAAAGTTTTCAGTAAGCTGCTAACTCAGAAGCCAGGAAAGCTAGAAAGCTGAAATTTTAATAGGGTGTTTTCTGACAATTCTGGCGGCCAGTCTTAATTTTTTAAGCTGGAAGCATTTGCTGAAAAAACCGGTGTCGATAGCGACAAAAACTGCGGGGAACTATGCAAACAACGCATTTTCGAACGGGCAGCCTGTGCGTTGGCCAATTATTGTTCGTGATATACGTGTATGTATGGTGCTGTTCTTGGTATGTGTCGTCTCACTTTTTTTTTGTTCCAGGGATACTTTGAAAAGTGCGATATCCATAGTAATCGTATTTCGGGAATTGAAGTGAAGAATCAGGCGAATCCCACGGTTGTTCGGTGTGATATCCACCACGGTCAAACTGGAGGAATCTATGTGCATGAAAAAGGTTTTGAGCGCTCATTTTTTGAGAGGAAGTTTTTCGATTTAACCGGGAATTAATATTGCTGCTCGCAGATTGCTCGGTGCAGGAACGAGCGGGTCCGCTGGATTATTTTGCAGAATTCCCGAGGGGTACGTGCTTTTGAAAGCATGCGATTGGAACTGCCTGGGATGCTTTGTTGCAGGACGCGGGCAGTTCATGGAAAATCGAATTTTCATGAACCAGTTTGCGGGCATATGGATTACATCGCATTCCGATCCGACTGTGCGTAAAAATGAGATTTTCTCGGGTCAGCAGGGCGGCGTCTACATTTTCGGTGAAGGACGTGGTCTCATTGAACAGAACAATATTTATCAAAACAATTTGGCCGGTATTCAAATCCGCACTGGTTCCGATCCAATTGTTCGACTCAATAAGATACACAGTGGGCATCATGGTGGCATATACGTGGTAATTTTTCTCTTCTTGTGCTCTCGAAGTGACTTCGTATTGTTTATTCGTTGGGAGTCCTTTAGCACCCACTAACTGATAGAAATTTATTCGAGCGATAAGCAGCTGCTTTTTGCTAATGTTTAATACCGATCGAGAGCTTTTTTGCACGAGGGTTTTGATTGGAACTGTGAAAATTTATGCCAGAAAAGGATTATGGTTTTTGAGGATTACAGTGCACTGTTTAGCGATGTATTTTTTTCATTCAAAATGCAGTGTAGGCTAGAGGCATCTGGAGATTTTTGTTTTGTGGTGCTGCACATAAGGTTTTTTGATTTTCTAATTGATGAAATTAGAAGCAGTGCTGGCGTGACTTTGAAGCCTGCTCCACAGTAATTACGAAATGAGAGCATGGGCAGAGTTCGAAAA